TTTGCTTAGTCCTAATGAATGCCTTCATACTGATCGTCTTGCTCCTGGTGTTCCGGTGTACATGTGCATCTTTTTGTTTAAGGGATAAAAGAGAGTGGAAGTGATCGAAGGATGGATCCTGGGTGCTGGCCCACAAACTTTCCCAGGCACTACTTCAAGTCCAGGCACATTCAGTAGTCCCCATAGTCCCAGGGGGTTTCTGTGGCCTCTCGGACAGGACGGGCAGCAGGAGGCCGGAGGGGGGGCTGCACAGCAGCAGCAGCACCCCTGGGCTTCCAGCCCTTGGCCCCAGGCAGCTGGCAGGGTAGCACTCCCACTCGTCTGGGGCAAGAGACACCCCTGGGCTGGCTCTTCTGTGAGGGGGAGAGGAGGAAAGACCAGGTAAAGACCAGGTTAAACCTTGATTTTTGGTAGAAACAGAAATTTAGTGGGGTTTTCTTCTTGGTTTTGACAGGAAGGCAGAGAAAGGCAGAGAAAGGCAAATGTCTGCAGCATTCAGGCACAGCGTGGCTCACACAGGCGAGCAGGCTGCTCATCCAGCACACCAGCCTCTTCCAACCCTGCATCTTCGAAAACAGCCAGGGAGAAGGAGGAGCATGCAGTTTGAATGGAGACAGGCTTTGGAGTTTTTAACACAATTTGATACTATGTCAAGTACTTTTATAGCTCTCTGTATATAGAAATTCCTGCAGTTCCCATGTACTGGTGGTGAGGATCAAGCATCTCTCAGCTCCGGGCACATTCCCTGTCCCTTGTGCAAACAGCAGTAGCTCCATGACCTGCTGATGGGGTGAGTTGCCTGTTGCCAAGAAGCCCATAGGGGAGGAGGGGATATCTTCGGGCAAGCATGTTACATAAATCAGCATCAATTTCCAAACAGTATTAAACAGCAGCCTGGCACTCCAATACCCCCTACAAGGCTTTGCTTGTTCCTGCCTATGTAGGACTGGATATCTGAACACTGGAAATAGGCACATAATGAAGATGCCCTTCTTACTTCTTGTAGAAGGAAGGCTGGGAAGGAGAAAAAGAGGTGTAGGAGTTAGTTACTACCACTACTTACTCCTACAAAGAGGATCTTTGAATATGCATAAGTGATGTGATATACTTGATCAAGCCCCTTTAAGACCAGTCTGGATCACTTCAGGGTGTTCACACTCAGACTTCATTTGCTTGATTCAATACTATTTTACAGAAAAAAAAAAAAAAAGTCAGTATCCAGCTTGTGAGTCAGCCCTGTGTGCTGAACTAGGGGGTTAGTTATGGAGGAGCTTCATAAATCCCCAAAAGCAGCACATTGACAGAAATGCTGACAAATCCATAGCTGCACTGGCATTACCAGCTACAGCCATGGTGCTCTGTGCACCGGATAACACTGCTGCGACTCCTCTCTTGCTGTGATCAAAGTGCTGGGATTTCAAAGTGAAATTCTTTTAGTCAGACCAAGTAGTCTTTGAATACATTAACTTTAAACCTCCCTAAAAATACTGGCAGCTGCTGTCTGGACTGCCCACATCATAGAGAGATCACAAGCCACAGCAATACTGACTTATAGAAATTGATCTCTTTACCTCATTACTGGGCTTTCCAGCAAATCTGGAAAAAACCCTCTTTAAAGCCAGACAACTGTATTTTTTTCAGTTTAAACAAATCAATTTCTGCAGCCGGGCAGTCAGGGTAGACTATTCCCACCAAGGGATTCATTTACTAGCCCTGGGTGAGATACTTCAAGACGGGTATTAAATGTCAAAAAGCTGTCACAGCAGTTTTGCAGTTTAATATTAATCTATCCAGTAGAGCCGGGCATCACGGAGCCAACCCGCCACTCCAGTCTCTCCCATTTTGTCCATCAGCCCTTGCATATTGCTGAAAGTGCACAGCACCAGCAGCTGCACCAAACCTGCCGGAGCATGCTGAGGTGGGAAGGCACCTGCTGAAGCCCAAGCTCAAATCCAGATTAAGGTCTCTCTCCTCTTGACGCTTGCAGGTGGGTTCTCGAGTGCCCCATCAACCTGGGGTAAATCAGCCTTGGGGCACCGGGGCCATTTCCTACCCACCATTCCCTCTGCAGCCCGGTGCCGGCAGCACAGGACAGGTCATAGTGATGAAGAGCCAGGAGAAAAAAAATCTGAGGGGGATTCAGTAAGGTTTTTTTTCAGTCATCTTACATTTGGGCATCTCAGAAGACGAGCTATGGCTTTCCCCACGGAGCAAACTGAGCCTCAGGGCAGTACAATGACAAGTTAGCAATCATCGACTGGCCACAGGCTGCAAACCTCTCCCTGCAGCAGCACGTCAGCAATACCAGCACCTTGGGGTCTGTTTCTCTAACCTGCTTTTAAAGATTTCCAGTGACAGAAACTCTACCACCTTACCAGGCAATTTATCCCTGCAACCTCTCTGCTCTCACTGTTTGTTAGAACTAAGTTTTCCCACTGTTACCCTGGATCTTTCTGGCTATAATTTAAGCCCCTTATCTCCCTGTGAACACACAGAACAAACTACTCCCCTCCTCTTTGCAGCAGCCTCTTACGTATTTGAAAACTGCTCTCTCACCTTCTCTTCTTTAGGCTAATACCAGTGCTTTTGGTGTTTTCCCTCATCATGTTTCGGATGACCAGGGGCGTGGGTACTCCAGCAGGTGCCTCTTGCCAGGAGCTGCACCCGTGGGCACCAGTAGGACCCCAGCGCTGCGGCTGTGCAAGGGCTCCTCTGCATCCTGGAAGCTGTATTTCCATCAGGGCACATCTCTGCTGAGTAGCATTCTTTAAATTTTTCTAGTGAACCAGGCAGTGAGGATATTTGAGAAAGGTGAAATCTTCCACACCAACCAGAAAATTGCTGCAGCACATTTTCCACAGAGCACGCCTGCTGGCTATACAGCAAATGAAGCAGGCTTCAGAAAACAGGCAGTTCAGATGGTTTCCGAGCAGGTTTTTAAGGACATTTTTCAGCCTGGGATGTAGAGAGCTCTGTTCCACACCTGAGATCAGCTCCCAGCTGAGCTTCAGGCACAGTTGCAAAAGAGAACTCTAGGTAGGAGAAATCACCGTCCAGTGTCGCTGTTACTCAGATGGCCTCTCCTGAGTAAAATTGCTGCTGTTACGCACAAAAGCTGTAAGATTTGTTGGAGAAATTGCAACTCACTTATTCTCTGCATACTTTAAACTGCTGCATTTAACTTCCTAGCACTGTAGAATTCAACCATAGTAATAAAAGGGCAAAGGGCTCTGCTCTGGACTCTGAGCTGCCATTTGGCAGGAGGTACCAGCCACGGGAAGGCTGCCAAACCTCTGCACCCTTTTGCTCATCTTTAAATAACCACACCGCTAAAGGGCACGGCCTGCGAGAGGGCAGCTCTCAGCCCCAGCACCAGCCCCCTCTGCCCTCCCCACCACTGGCCAAGCTCCTCCTCTGACCAGGATATCCTTGAGGAAGAGATCTCTACTCTCAAAGGACCACATTTTGTCCTCTGTTCCAGTCTATGGGAAGCATTCAGCATTTGGGATGCTGAAGCCTGAACGTGCAATGAATTTGCCCCTGCTCCCCCCGCCCCGAGTTCAGCATAGCCCTTGCACCCAGGTCGAGCTCAGGGCAGGCAGGGTGGTGCGCACGCACTGTAGCATCGTACCCACCAGCTCCCCTCTGCAGACATCACATCCCAAGTGTTGATTAAGAACTGACCTGTCTGCTGCTGCTGCTGCTTTTGTCTTCATTTGGTTTGATGGCAGTGGACAAAAAAGCATGGGGCTTTTTTTTCTGACTTCCAAATAGCAGTAGGTGCTGAAACAATAAAAAAAATGAACCCCCAGCTGCTGCTTCTCACATGAAAGCTGTTGCATATGTATTTACTGTGCTGATTAAACAGATCTGTGACTCTACATTAAAACAGGAAATTAAAGCACCATATTTTCAATTTTGTTTCCAAATTACAATTCATAGATGTTTGAGAAAATAAGGGCATTTACATATATCATTAGTGAGAGCGCAGTTGCTGTATGGCTGCCACTTGCTATCACAAACCAGAGTACCATGCTGTAAGTAATGCTTACTTCACAGCAGTATCCAAAAATGACAGCACACTGAATCCACTTCTTCTGTCAGGATATGTTTTTATTAAGGGTCAGTATAAACTCCAGAAGAAACTTTGAATCATTTTCATCACTATCTACTCAAAATACAAACAGTCTCTGAACATAGCTGAATTTTTAAATAGTCAGGTTCCAGGCACAATGCAAGTATCCGCCATTTACAAGGCTACCAGGTAATTTAAATTCATGAGTACCTATAAACATGTATTGATGTTCTTAGTGGAGAAATGCAGCTCATATTACAGGGCTAGATAACAGAAAATACTATATACAACATTTTGGCTTTCTTTCATGTCAACAGTTCATTGTAAGTGTAGATGTATGAAAAACATTTAGCATCTAAAAATTCTTTGTATTTAAGCCTCCAGCTAAAAAATAAACTTTTCAGTAATTAGTACGGTAGTGTTTATTTCAAACTTGATACTAATTTTCCCAATCAGTGTTATCAAGCCCATTCATAAGTGCACATTCTATAACAATGATAAATGGAGTATCCACGTAGTTAGAGAGTGAGCTGTATTAGGCAAAATGTTGGAATTCAACAATGGAAGTAGGAATGAGAGGTTCCACATTATGCTAACTTTTCTGATCTGCCTCTATCACCACGGATTTGGTTCTACTTTTATCTGACAAAATGGATTTGCAGTTAGTTTTTCACTCCTTAAACTTTGTTGTGATAGCATTTCCTACTGTGTAGTAACAACCTAAATAATGTATGTTTCAATCCAGCATTTTAGCTGTCTTCAGATGTGGTGAAAACTCTACATGGCTGAGTGAGAAATACCTATTAATGCATGCATAATTTGGAGTATGATTTCTCATGCAAAAGTAAGAATCTGCAGCTCTTACAGAAAACCAACAGGATTCTTTTACTTTGCAAGACATTTTAGACTATGACAGCACACACAATCACACTGTTCTTTCATTCTGAAAGGGACAGTCTTCTACAATGTGCTAAATGATACTCTCTGTTCCAGTCAGTAAGTCTGTTACTCTGAATTGGTTAGCTGTCCCATTCTCCATTATTCTGATCATTGTTCTCCTCTTCTTCAGAATCAGCAGACACTTTCTTAATTCTCTGGATGACTGCCTTAATGCTTCTCTCTAGCTCATTAGTGGATCCTTTACTGACATCTTTCTCAGTATCTCGATTCACTTTTCTTAGTTTAACTCCTTGCCTTATGGCAGAGAGGATGTTATCTTTTAGAGAGGCATACGGATTTGCCTGTTCCACTTTGCGAAGATGAACTTCATTACGTTTTAGAGAGGCCAAAACCTCATCCATGGACCCTGCAACAGATAACAATAGATTTATCAGAAGAAAGAACAAGACAACCACACTTAGAGGTATAAAACCCTACCCAAGTGTTCAGGGTTCTTCCTTTCATCTTTGCTAGAAACAGGAAAAAGAATGGCATGTTCTGGCACAGGTTCTTTCAAGCTTCTGCAACACCAAGCTCTGGAACTACTTTTAAAAAGCAATTAAAGCTTTTATGTCTTGAACTGAGAATCCAATGCCTCTTCGACATTATACAAGGTTATGTTCTAAGAAATTATACACAAAGGAGGATACTTCTTTTTCATTACAACTTTATGGGCTTTCAAAAAAATTTCACTGAACCAAAAAAAATTTCTTGTATTCTGTATTAGAAACAATCTACCATTCCTCCTAGCTTGCTCAGATGCCTGCTGAGACTGTCAATTGCATTTTTGCTCAGCCAAGAGAAAAATGAAAGGATTTGAGTAGAAGGGCTTGAAACAGCACCACTGAAGTCAGTGGGAGCCAGATCAGGCCCTAAGCAGGCAGCTCTTTTCTGTAGGGACTTAAAAAATAATTCCCATTTTACAACACAATTTAAATCTTCAGACCATAAAGGACACCATACAGAGAGCTTCCACTAGTTCTCTTGATACACACTGTAATTTGTGTTTTACTCCTTCTGTCAGATTCTCTGTTGCTAGCTTCAGACCATCAGACAGGGAGGCCGTTTCCCTGGACAGCAGTCGGCTCCTACAGCCCTAGGCCCAGACCATCTGTGCCTCACAGCCAGAAGTATTTTTTGCCATGCGCAGTGCACATAAGGTTATGTGATTAATATTAAACACTTGAAATGTAACATTCTGCTAAATCCTGTGGTACCTTCAGAGACTGAGATGCCAGAAAAGGATCAAGCAAAGATCCACCAAGTTGTCTTACAAAGCCTTCAAGCAAGAAAGTCTTAAGTCTACCAATCAAATGGACTGCCTGGTAAAAGACTAGTCAGACTAACAAATTATAAAATAAGTTCCCCTTGGAAAGCATGTTAACACATTACAGACAATATTTTCAACACCAGAATGTGAACCTCTCCTTGCTTTTCATGTACAAACACACAAGTAGTCAACATGTAACTAAAACCAACCTCTTTATGAAGCTGCTTCAGTAAGTTCTTGTGGCAGTATTTTATCAATTACTATTACAGCAATTAACATGCTGATTTTCTTCATGAAATAGATGTAAACAACTAATCAGATCTCTCCAATAAAAAAAAGTATTTTTCTTATCCAGAAATAATGAACGGACATCAATATTAGACTGTGAATAGCAGTAAATATTAGCTACTAGGAAGGTTGTTCCAGTAGCAATCAGACTACTGTGGTGTACAACTCCTGTTGCTAATCAAAGCTTCTTAGGAGTATCTGCGATAGCGTTATCCCACAGACCTCCCAGACTGATCCACTGGATGCACAGTAGTTTGTCATGGTAACTTGACTGCATCTCAGCCCTTCAGCTGCTTGTACTTCCCCACACCTTGGAAGAACAGAAAACGCTGAACTTTCCTTAGTATTTCTGCCCGTGGTTTGCCTCTTAAGCAAGAGGATACAAAGGCTGTTTAGATGTATTGTGAATAGTCTGAAAAGCAAAAGGAATGTACCATATTTAAAGACATGCTTCATTCTAGCATAAGTTCCACTGAAAAATGACAATAAAAAATTGCTGCCTTCCAACTTAGATCAATCTCCCTGACACAGTCAAAGTATCTGCTTGCTTTAGAGATAAAAATAAGCCTGTTAGCAGGATGTAACCAGTGCAGCCTTGGGAGGCTGCTGAGCTCTATTCTCATTCAAACTACTGTTTCAATTGCTGAGTTCAGCCTTCAATTACACCTGCATGATCTTGCTAACAAAGCAGAGGTGTAGCAGAGCAGAATTTTTTCCCTAGGAATGTTAGCATGCCAAAGCTATCCATCTGCCTTTCAAATCCTGGTTGAATTCTGCATGAATTCTCTTAAGAAACCTTTATTTAGAAACCAAGTAAATTATAAGCGGACACAGGCTGTGCCAGCAGCCCAGCTGCTAGTTCCGTAGTACATAAACCATAAACACTAAAGTGTAGCCTTAGTACAACCACAAATTTACCCACAGTGGTCTTCTGACTGGACAGGCAATTCATCCTCAATCAAAATACCACATCTGATTCAAAAGCTGCAAAACTGTGGCAAGAACAAACCTGGTAATAAAAGTTGCTTCTCACTAAACAACATGAATAAACCTCCTCTCCTTGGGATGTCTTCTGACACCTTCCCACCTGTTACAGCAGTGGGGTTTTCAGCGTTATGAGAAATGCCAGGTCCTGAATTCAGATCTCCACAGAACTAGTAGTGCTGCGATTAAGCATAGTTTAAACTAACTTCTAAGGTTGTACTTAATAAATGTAGGATTCCAGCAGAGATTCAAGTTCAAATGTCCTAAAAGATTGACCTGTCTCATTTGACAGCACTTCCCCAAAAATGCCAAGTCACGCACTCTGAGCATCAGGACCCTGTGAATCGTATCAAACAGGATACACAAACCATTGTTACTCATTTAACACCCTGAGTTATGGTCAGTGTTACTGGAAAGCTTAGTCTAAGAAACCATGTGCAAGAGTTTCATTCTCTTGAGCAAGACTGCACACTATTCCTGTCCAGAACCAGAGGGAAGGAGAACAGAAAAATACAGGAAACAAACTAAAAAACACTAGTTGATGTGAGCCTTCTTACCTACGTAATTATTTATAGACCTCCTGGATAAGTCATCCTGTTTGCACAGTGCAGGGCCTTCTGTGGGGCTATCGGAGCTAAGGGGAAGTGGCTTATTCTCTGTTGCTGATGGTGTCTTTAACTGGAGAGGTAAGGGGGGAGGTGGGGGAGGAGGGGGTAAAGGAGGAGGGGATGGAGGAGGTGGCAGTGAGGATGGAGAGACCATCAATCCCTTGCTGTGCTTTTGTTGCTCTGTGTCACTATCAGCAACAAAAATCTGGACAGGGATATCTGCTGGGGTATTCTGATGTGAAGCTTTTGATTCTTTGGCTTCTACTAGCAGTATGCTCTTTGGCTGCTCCAGAGCTGTCCTTGCTCTCAATGAAGGTGGAGAGGACAATTCTGCAGGCTGCTGAGCGATGCTTCGTGGCAACTTGGGACTGAGAGGCTGAGGACGGGATGTCTTCAGAACAACATGAGCTGGATACTTCTGAAAAACAAACCAGGAGGTCACAACTCCATTGGACTGTCCAAAACATCAACCCCAAAGAGACAAAAAGCCAGAGTACAGACTTGTCCCGCTCACCCGTTCAAGCAGAAAATTCAACTCAGGAGAGATTTAAATTAACATCAAGGTATTCCTTTCAAAGCCATTTCCTCACTTGTATTCTTTGCAACAGGTTCCGCACCTGGAAACTATATCCTTAGTGGATTTAATCCTCTTGACTCACTACACACAATCCTATTTTAGGCTATCCAAATGGTTGTCTCCAATTTGGACCGTGCTCACATGTGAGCTATGGTGACTTCCTGACATTGTGCTTTGACACCATTAAGGACTACTGTAGTTCACAGTACTTGCCTCCCTGAATGTTTTCAGCCTCTCTAGGGTTTTCTGACGTTCCTGGCTTATCCAAGCTTTTTTCTTTTTCTCCTCCTCTTTTTGCTTGTCTCTCTTCTGCATTAAAACACAAGTAAGTGAGCCTTAGTGTGTGAAAACAAGCAGCTGTCAGATCCTCCAAGGCTGCTATTCAGTACTCACTATCTGTATGCTGTGATGATGCTGGAAGCGTTTTTTGCTCTCTTCTGCCTGTTGCAGCCTCTGCCGATGGCTTGCTTCACACTGATCCTGGTAGAACAGCAAAATTCACGCAATCCTTGGTTAGTTCACATTTACTGTGCACTATCTGTGCCATTAACTCTTGCACACAAGCCATGAAACAGCGACCAAGGCAGAGTGTTTGGCTGTGCCAAGAAGGATGGCTAAGCTCAACTAGTGGCAGATGTGAGACCCTGAAGGTGAAGTCTGTAGGACTCCTTCATGGCTAAAGCCAACAGGATCTTTTGTTCTCCTAATTAGCGATAGAGTTATTCATGGTGCAGAGGAAATATACCCAAATTTGAACTGAGCTCTCAGTCTTACACTTAGGTTAAAAGAAGAGAAGAAAGAAAAAGAAAAAAAAAAAAGCAGAAAGAATTTCTGAAGAAGTTTTACCCAGGTACCAGCTGGAGGGAAGGGGTGCAAAGCCATGAGGAAGAATGCAAGAGGGAAGCTAGCAGGGCATTACAAAAATACAAGGCTACTTTCCCCCTGTCCCTTATTTGCCATAGCTCCCAAGTACAAAAGCCAGGGAAGCAAAGGGATTGGAAGCACAATGAATGCCTAACAGTGGTACCTTCCTGTTAGTAACAAGTGCCACAGAGAAGCTGCAGGCTTGAGTATTTTCTCTGGGCGTCGCTATTTGTCACTGTACAGAGGGCGATTATCCACATGGCTGGGTACGCATTTGCAAATCATCTGGCATTTGGCTTTAGTGTTATATAACCAATAGACAGCAATTAAGTGAATGAAAACAGAAGCAAAGGAAGCGTCTGCTGAGGAAGCAGTTGCAAGCAAGAGACAATGATGGCTCACAAACATTTCCAATGTCATTCCCATTTTGTCCAGGCTAGTGAGAGGTAAAAGGCCAGGCAGACTGGAGCTTAAGCTCTGCTCTCTGCCCCTGGAGAACTGTGCAGGTGTAAGGTAAGCTCAGCTCACTGGGAAGGTTCATGAGAGTCAACTGTGATCTCACTTCTGTCTTCCTAGTGTTCTGCTCTGAATGGGAAACAATAGAAAAAACTGCCCTTTACACAGAACTGAGAGGCTGGAGAGAGCTGCAGCAGTTAAATTTTCCCCTCCCTCCCATTCAAAGGATCACTGTGTGGGTTGTTCTGTCACTGCAGTTTCCTTCATTGCAGGCCAGGTTTCCTCCTGTACTGCAGCTGCTTTGCCGTGGCAGCCTTTTACAAAGCCCCAGCCAGCTACAGCGCAGCTCTGGAAGGTTTAAGTGATAGGGGACATATCCTGGGTCACTCATGTAAGTTTGTGCTCTCTTAATAAGCTAGAAAGGCACGTGCACCGCACAGTGGAGTGTAAAGCTGGCTTAAAAATCACATTGCCCCTCTTTCTGTTTGGAGGCCTTGGCACTGAGTGATGTATCACCTTGTAAGCTCCACCCAAAGCTTCCCTAGTTGTTTCCTGTCCGTCCCTCATGAGTCAAGACATCAGCTAAAGAAAATGCACATCTCCAGGACTGCATTTACTTTTTTGTTCCTGAGGTAGGCTCTCCTCGCACAGACAGTCCCACGCTTTGTCTCCAACTGCTTAGTCTTCTGCCTCAGCATCGTCATTTCTGACAAGTTAGCGTAATGTTGTCCCATTGTCTGTTCAATGACCTTGAGCTCCTCAGGATTTTCACATGTATCATAGTAAACAACTTCATCCTGTTTCTCTAAAAAGGCATTTGGCATTTTTTTAAAATCCCAAAGATTGCCACAGTTGTTTAAACATTTAAAGAACTAATGACATTTTAAAAGCCATCGAAGGCAGTGAGTTAGTTATAAAGCGTAATGCTCCAGAGCCGAGCTTGGTCCTTCAAAGTCTTACGCAAACATGTCATGTTACTCACAGGGGTGCTTTGCAGGATCAAATCTATGCTGTTAGCATTTGTTGTTATTTAGCTTCCTCTTTCAAATGTCTCTGTGCTTTAACTCCTACTTTCACCAACTGGATTTTTTCTGGAAAATTGAAGACTGTTCTGATCAACATTGGGTGATTTATTTTGCTATTTACCAGGTTTTAAATACGCAACAAGCAGGAGCAACGTTTACTTCACAGTGTACACAGTAATAGAGAATTCATAAGCACAAATAAGCATAAACAAGACTGGTGCCTAATTTGGTCATAAATATGTTATGAAGAGACACTTAAACCGAAATACAGCAGTACTCAAGTACCATCTAGCTATAATTACCTCTTTTTGTCATTACAGGATGTATTTTGTAATTTCTACATGTTAAGTTACAACAGATTTGTGATGAATTTCAGGACCTATTTCAGCAGCTCACGAAATCACAGTTTCTGCACACAGATCTTGTAACTACAACATCAGTTAAGTATTTTCAATATAAGTTATTCTATATGTTAAACCAGTGCATGCACATATCACAGCTGCTATAAAGATGAGCAACCACTGTGGCTTTTTTTTAAACTTGTGTTATCAAATTAGTGTCTAATTAGTCAGGATACAAAATATCAGATGGTGCCATGGCATCAATGTTTTCCAATGAGGCTTTCTACTATCAAGGCCTGAGCAGTGATAATCATCTTTTTTTTTTTAAAGTGGAAACAGAGCAGGCTATATCACTCCTGTCTTTCCAATACATGCTTAAATATTTGTTTATTCTTACCTTTAATCTGTCTCCTTAAAGTGTCCAACTGTACAATAAGCAGCAACTCTTCATGTTTCAATACTTCAAGCTGTATGTTATATAATTCCAGTTGCGTTTCATAATACTGTATTTCCAGCTCCTCCACTACAGTTAAGTTCTCTTCTTGTTCACTGAGGTACTCCATCTGTATAGCCCCAAACAAAATAAAAAAAAGCATTAATAACAAAATAGGCACACATGAAACATGCATGGATGCACAAATACCTGTAGAGAGCCTGGCCTAACTGGCAGCTGCTTAGGTGCTTTGGTATGGAAACAACAAAACGTTAGAAATGCCTTGGACCAGAAACGCAGGAGCCGAGAGTCTTATTAACCTAAAGTGCAATTTTACCTTAAGTCTACCAGGAAAGACTTCATTATAATCTGCACAAGTAATACTGCTCCTGAAAACAAATCTATATGGTGCAGTACACTACTCTTGAAAAATACATATCAGGTACTCCAAGTCGCAGTTAGGTGGCATCAAATCAAGACAATCAGAAGATTAAAATTAAGTAAGTATCTTTATTTTGCAGTGTCCTCTGAAAATAATAGCCGGTGTTTATCTCCCTAAAATTAACAATTTCAAAGGTTAATATCAAATGCTAACATGACACCTGAACTGTAAAAAAGCATGTATCTCAGCCTTTGCTAAGGGCTCTCATATGTGCAGGAGCAATTTTAAAAAACTGGAGACATGCATTTTTTCCACAACTTAAAACCATGTTGAAAAACTAAGCTGTTTCATAGGCAAAGACTTTGAAGATCAGTCTACTCCCATGACCACTTCAGTAGGTTTTGATCAGCCCTTCACAAAATAGTAACAGAAAAGGAGGCTTTGCAAGGTCTTACGTTTTTCTGAATGTCAGCTCTCTTCTGTTTCAGGCACAACTCTCTTGCCCTCAGATACTGAAGAGTTTCTTTAGCTAACATACATTTCAGGTTTTCTAGTCGTGGCAAAGCTGATGCCCATGTGGTTTTACCAAATCTTTCCTGATCTTGTTCCATCTGTTTGTGCATAGCTGCAGATTAAAACATTGTAATAAGATATGAGAAATACAGTGTACTAATAGCCCTTGTGTTTCTACTATAACTGCAGTACTAAAAATGCTGATACTATTAAACAATTTCTGAAGCTTCTTTAGAAATTACAAGACTAAAAGGCTGGATTTAGGATTTTATATATACACAAGTAAAATACTTCATTGTACCATGAAAACATGCCTTAACACTTACACAGCAAACTACTCAGTTAATACACTGAAATCCTTGAGGCTTGCACATCAATTGTTAAAAGTATGCATGGTTTTTGTTTTGCAGCTGTAAGTCTCAGGCCTTGATAATGTTTGTATGCAAGCCGAATGTAAGTTGTAAACCAAACTGGTTAAAAGATAGAAATCTTAAGTGATAAAATCCTTCTTTCTTAAGCTGGACACTCATCCTAAGGTCAGGGTCTGCAAAGAGTGACCAGCAAAGGTGATCTTGGTTCCCTAAGTCAAGAATTTACACAACCTTCTGTGTAAATCATTCTGATTACCTGCCAGAGCCTTTACAGTCTCCTTGAAGTAGTTCACAGTGATATCCTGAACGGAGCACACAGCATTCTCAGCTCGCTTAGTCCATTCTTCAGCATCTTTCTGCAAAGCTGCTACTCTTTTAGGCCCCAAATTATCATACTGCAAAGATTTCTGCAGGGAGACAAAGTTTTCCGTTATCGACTGGTTACTGCAGAAGTGCAGCCCGCAATATGCTATACTTCGAGACAACTCAAGCAAGGCAGAACATGGTGGCAAACATGACCTTCCCCTCACCTGTCACAAAGTGAATCACTACTCATGCTTATGTATTGCCTTCTTCCTCATTCTCTAGGCTAACTCAGAACCTTTGTTCCCCTATCATGACTTCACACTTAACTTTAGATTAATTTATTTCTTAAAATATTTTTAAACTATCATCTTAAAAATTATGTCCAACACAAGTGTTTTTAGTTGTTACTAAAAGTAACTCAAACCCACTCTTCTACGTGCAATGTTCTCTTCTATTTTTCCCCCACGTGTTGACAGCACATTGCACTGTCAAGTTCTCCCGTTTGGCAGTTCTTTCACACAGAACAGGGATATATAAAAGAAATGTTAAGAGAGTATTTGCAAGTCCACAAAGTGTACATGGGTACAAGACTAGTATTCAAATATATTCTTTTAAAGAATTAAGATTTCAAATGACCCTAAATATCCCTTGGAGGTTTTTTTTTAAATACAGAAACAAACTTCCTGTTTCATCCATGTCAATTTTTACTTTAATTTTCAGTATAGCATACTGGATCTTTTATCTTCACAGATTTAGACCTTCAGTATTCAAGAACCTTAGTCTAAACTTAAAATGTTCTCAAAAAGAGCAGAACAGTTAACAGCTCACTTTAATTTTAACAGACTATTTAAGGAAAAATCAAAACAGTAGCCAGCTGTCTTTTCCAGAGGCATCATAACTTTCAGTATTTGCTTCCAGCTTCTGATGCACATAAAACGAATGCAGTGACAACTGACATGTTTTAATCAGTACTTCTGGCAGGTTGTAGCAGCAATAGAAAGCTGCTCTGTGTTGTAAGGTTCCCTCTGCCTTCTGTTCTACCACCACAATCAAGTTAATCTGGTGCATCAGCATTGCTGGGGGACAGCATTCTGAGTGTCACACACTAATCCCACTGAAGGTGGCACAATGAAGGCTATTTAGATCTCTCACAATTCAGGCTACCAGAGAGTAAACTCCAGAACGGTGGAGTTTGGAGATGTTTTCCTTTAAATTCCTCAAAACAGACAGAAGTGGGACACCAGTAGGAAGACAGCTGCAGTTCTATTCAAGCCAATACCACGGACTCTGAGATCCTCTGAGACTGGTTCTGCCCTAACTCTGAATTTCTCAGTCATGTTTGGTGGCTTGGCAGGGCTAAAAAAGTAGGTACAGACAGAAGTAGGGAATGTTAAGTGATTTGAGTCTAAACTGCTCCAAGAGCAGCTGATGCCCTACTATATGACTTAGCCTTTCACTTTGTAAAGGCAGACCCACCAGGATTTCCAGTTTGTACAGTGTCGCCAGCTCCCGCATATCTCTGAAGGGCTGCAGTAAATACTGGTAGAATTGTGTTGCCATGGTGACCAAATCCTGATAAGCTTCGTCTTCTTCTTCGTAAACCTTCATCAAAGCCACCATTGTGTCAGCATTTTTATGCTGCTGAAGAACCTAGTGGGATAAAAGGTAAATCAGACTTAGCTGCTTTGCATTTGTGTGTGCTGACTGCTGATGAGCTTTGTGGAAAGGACCTGCCATTTGTCATTCAGTGACCAGGCAAGACTTCCCACTCCACAGGAGGTGTACACCAGGCATTCAGCGGCCACCCCTAGCTGGAAATATTTCTAACACCACACTGTTAAAGGCACCAATTGCTGCATATTGCATCGAGAGTCTGCAAGGAGCATTATGCCTAGGGCATCCACCACAGAAATTCTAATAGCTGTGTGCAGATGACTTGGTTGCTGCTTTTTATAAATACAAATATGAAACTGAGGAAGTCTGTGTACTGGAAGAACAAGTAAGATATTCTTAAACTAGCTCTTGCATTGCTTCCACAATTACTAAATGCCTGCTAACATGAAATGAGTTTCCGGATCCAGAATTTCTGACTTCGGGCATAGAAAAATCAGATTGCGATTTCAAAACAAGAATTCAGAAACAGATTTCTAATCCTGATATACCGTGCAGTTAAATTCCTTTAGCACTTGCATAGTTTATAATAGCTTATTCTAATCTCAGTTCCAGTGACATTACACTTTTTAACTTGTAATTCTTCCATGGAAGAACTGCCTTTCTGATACACTAGTCCTTATTTAAGGTCTTTATTTGCTTCTATGACAAAATACAAAGTTGGAAACTCCTCCCCAATTGCATTTGTTTACTGGCACCAATCAAAGCTTCAAAGATTTTTCTTTGACAGTAGCTAGCAGAGACCATGGTGCACTCTATGTGCCAGGACAGAGTAAGCCAGCTGAGAGAATACAGCTAAACTCCACTGAGAAACACAGACCTTCCTGGAAGGACAGTGTTAGCTTTACAGCTCTGTAAGGAGGGAAGGGAATAGAGGGCGTTTGGTGCTACAACAATGAGAAAAAGCATTAGAAACATAAGCTTGATTGTCTTGCAACTGAAAAGCACTGAAATTAAACCGTCACCTTTGCTCTTGCCAGCTGAGTCTGGGTAAGACAGCAGGAGCAAAGTTCCCAGCTGTGGGGGTATTTCCCCAGGGAAAATCTGTGAAAGTCAGCTCAAGGGCATTTCCCACCCATCCTCCCTCCAAGCAGGACAGAGGAACAAGAAGATCTGAACTGCAAAATTTTGATAATCCCAGAAGTCCTGCAGCCCCTTAGGCTTCCCCAGGAGCTCCTGGTAGCTCCAACAGAGTCCTAGAACCCACCTGCAGCAATTTGACAGCCTGCTTCCCCCCCCACTATCAAAGCCAAATAGAAACACAATAGCTCACTTTCTGGTTTTCACACCCAAAGCAAGTAGTGAGGGTCATGCTGCTCCTGGAGAATGTTTACAGTGAGTAAAGGGGAAGTATTATTTTAAAGTCAACTCATAAGACAATTATTCATTACAACGGTTTGGATTGGGGGGCAGGGACAGGACTGATGATGACACAGACAACAGTGGGTTGGGGAGGGTGACAATTTGTCTGTTTTAAAGTAAAATCCTTGCTTTTACACAATCTAATATTCTTTCATAAAATTCTGGTTCACCATTAGCCCAACTGACTCCTCTGGTTGTTGTAACTGTACTGCTCTTTTTTTTTTGTCTTCGTCTTTGAACACACACAAAAGATCTACTACTCTCCTCCATCTTGTACTCATATCTTCTGCACTCTTCAAAATAAATTCCCTGGCCCAGAGGATGACGTATTTGAGAAGGATATGGATGTAAAAAGGGAAGGATGGTCTTGATACTTAAGGCTAGTTTAGTGCTAGAAAAGGTAGGTTTTATTTCTTGAGTCTTGCATAACTTGGTCTAGACTGCAATATAATGAGTTTATATCCCTGTCAGGCCTGCAAATACATCACCACTCCACAGCATATTTAGCCATACCCAAAATATAACTGGAAATATCAGAATAACTGGCACAGAGTTATACTTAACCACCAAACCGCCACAGCTGTACATGCTTGTGCTGCTTGCAAACAAGTATGGTGGCTAGAATGTATTTCTAACTGGGCCATGAACGGTTATAATCAGTTACAGAAACTGTAGCTTTAGAACACTGTACGTGAACTTCATGTAAACCAAAGTTATCTTTTTTAAAAAGTGTCTTTCCGAAACAGTAATGTTGTTACAGCTGTTAAATACTAAAACAGGAAACAGAAGGCTAAAGCCAACTGTCTTAACTTTCCTCCAAAGCATACGTTTCTGCTTACTTTGCCAGGAAATACACTGCAAGAAAACTACAGCAGCAACACACTGGTGAGCTTAAAGTATCTGTAACTTTTGTTTTAGCATACCAATGTCCTAATTGCAACCACGTCACTATCTTTAAATTCATGCTTACTGGAAGGGCGGAGTCCAGGAACACATCTACAGTAAGAAGAAACTTACAGTACTAAATGGAGAAAGGGCTAACATCATCATTAGTTCATACAATCATTAGGCCAGAATTTGACACTTAAACACAACACAATTTCTCTGACTACAAAACACATATTGGGCATAGGTCCATGGCTAAGTTTGGTTTTAATAAAAAACCTGACTGAGAATCCCCTGGTTATAGGCAATACTGCAAACAGGCAGACTGAGACGTTCATAGGGAGGCTAGAAAGTTAAGAGTGTGATTGTACTCTCACTTTTGGTTACCATTCCACCCATTGCACAACACTGCTGGATATTTTTAGCAAGATGTTTTTGTAGGAGCGCTTGCAGCTTAAGTAAACGCCCCAACGTGTTATACTGACTGCCCACCCGGAGCTGGCTTATTCCCCACTTAATAAAGTAGCACTTACAAAGACTAATGACGTTCAGTACTTGAGAAAGTTGACTTAGCGGTTTCCAGACAATCAAAAAAAGCGTTTGTGTAAGCACTAATCTGAACATTGGACGATAGTATGAGCCAGATGATATTAGCGACTTGGTCACCTCTGCTCACGTTACCCAAATGCGAGCCTGACCTGAGTAACTGAAGGTCTCCGCAGCAGAGGCTGCCAGCCTCACGCGTGCAACTCCCAGGTGAGCAGCAGGTGCTAAAGCTGAGGCTCAGACAGGGGCACCTGCGAGCTACAGTGGAGGTGGTCCTACACCAAGGGAAACCTTTTTCTGCCTGCAGGGAGAGCAGGGGGGGACCCTGCAGCACCCCCACCCCCAA